CTATGGTTCGTGTTGGGGGTTTGTTTTTAGCTGCCAAGGGCCATGACCCTCTTGTATGTTCTCTATCCTATCCATTAGCATTTTGAACGTCTACTCTCTGATTGTCTTGTCCTATTATTTTGGGACTGTATCCACTTCATTACCATCATTGATTCCGTTATTAATTGTTTTCTCGAGGTAGAGGCATTTGATGTGAAAATCTCCATTTCACTTCAATTTATTGTAGTTATTTGTTTTATTTTCCATACTTGAAAGTAGTCCTCATTTACAAATTATAATGCACAACAAGATATTATTTTTTATATGGGCAATCTGAAGTATTTGTACAGATGCTAAACAATATTGTAGTGAATAATATAAATATAAAGATCTTGTGGTTGTGGATAGGTGGTAATTGTACCTTTTTACCACCATTTAAAATAGACTCCTTTTGATTTAGATTTGACCTCTTGTATACTTCGTGATAATGATGCAATGAAGAATCTTGTTTCTAATTGTGGAGATTTCTTTGAGCTGAATTATTTTGAGTTGGCATATATCTAATTCATGTTGAGAAAGTTTATTTGCTTAAGTGGTACTCCTTTGGATTTTATATTTTATATAATCTTGTTGATTTTTGGTTTGTTTCCTTTTTTTTTTCTCTTTTGCAATTTTCGCATTGTCAGGAAGAAGTCACAAATGCAGAAAAGGCAATTGAAATGATGGGTGCTTCGTTACTGCAAATATGCCCTGGTGTGTTTGTCTTTCTGTTGGTTTTCCTGCAATGTCACAATCTCATGTGTACAGTAACAAAGTCAAAAGATTTGTGTGTAATTGAGGATTGCTTTATAGTACAGAGGTCTCTTCCTGAAAAGACACTCCCACTCTTAGCCCGTAGGAGTTGGTTTTCTAGATACTTATACTAAGTTATTCCCATGTGTACTTGAACTACAAGAAATATTCTGATGCTGACAATTTCTGCTACCGTATCTATATCAACGTGATGTATAAACTACTGAATTGGCCATTAAATATTTGGAATTTGCACCCATTCCAATGGATTTTGTCAAACTTATTTTGTTTTTGGCTTATGTTTTGCTTGCAAGAATTTGAATCTTTGTTCTAGTCTTTGGTTTGATTTATAGGATTATCTTTGATTCTCAGATATGGGTTGTTCGTCTAATTTGCACGTAGAACTTAACAAATTTGTATTATTCTTGTGGAAAAATCTTTTTCTCGAGCAAAATTTGATTTAAAATTATTTCCTTAACTGTACTAGATTATTTTATTTACAGTTCGATCCACAAAGTAATTCACCTTATGCTTTAAATTTAACTTTACCCCAACTCTATGATGTAATATTGTCTGAAGGTCCTTTTTTTTCTTATGCAGTGGAATCACATAGTCCATATGGGCAGCGAAATGCCGTTGTTTGTTTAAAAGAACGGCACACTCCCAGGAAGTATCCTCGTGATCCAGGTACACCAGCAAAAGCCCCGTTATAATCATCTGGGTGTTCAGTTTGGTTTCAATTCACGTGTTCGTCTCAACGTCAACGAGTTGTTTATTATGCAAAATGCTTCAGGTGTGTGAGTCTATGATAATCACCTGAAGATAGACACCCTGTTATTTGTTGTGCATATCAAACATCATTTCACCCCGAGTAATTCTTGTATGACATTTGGTTATTAAATTAGTATTCAAATTTATTTCCATTTTGGATTTATGTGTTGGTCTTTCGCCTCCCGCCATTACCCCACCAAATTCATCTCTTTCTCTACATTGACATATATAACTCCACCCTTGAAAAGGAAAGGATGATGAAATTTAGTACAACATTTACTTTTTCGCATGAACTCTTATTTTTCTAAGAGTAGTATAAAGTAAATCTGAGTTCTTGATAAAATTAGTGCTAAGGCGACAAAAATAACCATCATTATTTCATTGAGAGAGTGTCTAAAATATACTACTAGAGTTGATTTTTGGCTGCCATAATCCTTGTTGAGGCATGGGGAGTTGCTTTTTGGAATATTTTATAGGTAAAGACTTCTGATCATCCATAAGATGAACGTTTATTTGTCTTCCTCATAGCTTTTTATAGATGCGATGGTGTAAATGATTTGCCATCTAATCACTTTTCTCATGTCCAAGTTATCTATTATTGCACTGCACCACGGACAAAGGAACAGACCTTGCTGAACCCAACCTGGAAAGATTCGCCCAGTGGAAAAGTTTGATAAACCGTGTCGCCAGGTATTAAGAACATAAGCTGTACTTATAATTGCTGGATTAACTTGGTTTGAGTTTAAGTATATGATTAACCTTGTTAATATATAGAAATTTGGATGCAGTGTCTTATTCGATGACGATGTTTAGCTAGACTTCCAAGTTTTGAATTAATTAACACCACTCTCTTTAGTCAAAAGTAACGAGCTATTGTTTGAGATAATCTTGTTTATTTCAATCTTCATGCAAATATCTCCCAGTTTTAGGCGACAGGTTTGGTATGGAAGTGTCCATCCATTTTTCTTGTATTGTTTATTGAGACTTTTGGGTCTTATCATTTCTTTGGCGAGTGATTAATTAAGATATAATTGTGAATATTGCATTTCCGTCCTTGCATTCCAAGGCATTCGATTTTAGTTTTTATATAGTAAAAGTACGCATTTTTTTTTTCTAGATATAGTTGTATCCATTTCATTACTTCATTACTTATTCTATTTAAATAGTAAACTTTTATAGTTTCTTATTATTTAATATATGTTGTAGCTTCAAGCTAGAAGGTTATGAATTTTTTTCCTTCAATAGTTGTAGAGGTGAGGATGTAAATTTTCAATTTTAAGAGAATATATTTAACTTAACTTCTTTTCGTTAGATAGAATACCTCTGTTTTTTTTTTTTTTTTTTTTTTTTTTTTTTTTTTTTTTTTTTTTTTTTTTTTTTTTTTTTTTTTTTTTTTTTTTTTTT